CATCTGTGATTCAATAAATTTATATCTTCAAACTTTTATAATATAACCAGTGAAATCCTAAAGTTTAGTTTTATATTCCTTAAATGTTTCATTGTCTCTAATAATGAATTCAATGAAATGATCAATGACATTTTTACAAGCTTTATTGATTTATTAATCTGTATTATCATTGCAATTTATACTGAATAGCTAAAACAAAGTACATAGTACTCATCAATCATTCAGTAGTTAACATTATTGTATTGTTTAATTTCTAGGGTTGATCATATTTCACAATGTGACTATAACTTACTTACTTACGCTTGCTACACCTCATGGAGGAGCATAGGCTATCAAGCGACATTTTCTGTTCAACTCTATCATGGGCAATCATTTCTTTTGATGCCTGCTTCCTATTCTTGATGCAGTATGTCCTTTGATTTTCATCTTTTCTGTTTACCTTCACGATTCCAAGTTAGTGCTTGCTTCGTGGTGCAATTTGATGATTTCCCTAATGTATGTCATATGCAGTTCCAACGTCTTTCCTTAATTTTTCGTCTTCAGCTCGAAGCTTGTTTATTCTCTTCCACAGTAAGTTGTTTCTGATAATGTGACCATAAGGTTAATAAAATTTAACTTTGATTATAGATGGTTAGTGACAATCAATACAAATTCATGGACCTAGTTTTTGTACTGGTTGACGTACATTAATAAAAATCATCTTGAAGCAATTGAGACACTCCCTAGTGAGTTGACTTTATATGACTCTGTGAGATCATCAGAGATCTTAGTACTGGGCTACGATGGTTATTCTATATAACCGTAATGACTACTTTATTAATTAAGGACTAGTAATCAATGTTATATTGACCAATACTTAGTTTAAATAGGTTAATTGCTATCATTTCTATATTCTAAACATACGTTATCTAGTAATTTATCTTTCTAACATAAAGCAGTTTGTGAATCAATGATGACCTCGAAATCAGGACCTTCGGTCTCGCTCACGAACACTTAACCTCTAGATCACTGAACGGCCGTCCAATGGTGTTAATGTCTAATTTCAACCAATCTACGAAATCACGCCACCATCTTCCATTGTCTTCGGTGGGTAACTGTCTCACACCCGACACGGATTAATTCCACTGATCACAGCTTCTCTTTGGAACTCCGAGAATTACTTCACGAACCTACTCACTAGTGAATACATGGTTCTAATCCCGTGTGCGGGATCGTGGACGAGCAATATTGAGGAGTCCTTTACTAGGATAAAACGGTCGTCTAGTGTTTCCAGGTGGTCTAACATTGATCAACTCGTGATTTCAATAAAAAAATTCACTATATATATATATATATATCATGTTATCTGTTTGGAAAAAACAATGGTTCATTCGCTTATATTTTTTACTGTTACGTCATTCATTTTGATCGAATTATTATTATGTTGAAAATATGTTATCTCTATTGTGGATAGAAAATTTTTGGTAACATTGATAATCCTAAATCATATAACAATAAATATATTCTATCACTTCATTTTTCTAATCAACTTTTTTTTACAATAAAGAGAACAAGTTTTTCGTGAGATAATCTAATATAATGAGAGAATATCAAGGGAATGAAGGACAATAAATTCCAAATGGCCGAAGTTGGTCATATCAATATATGTATTAAATGTATAGTTAGCTTTTGATTATTATTATTATTCCATTAGTAATATAAATATGTATGAACAAAAGGTCACGTGACATGTTTTCGTAAACAAACAGAACCAAATTTATTTATTTATTTTGAATCACAATAGATATGCATTAAAATAAACAGATTTTCAATAATATTGAACATTGATTTAGATGTTAACTTTCGGTTGATTTCTGTACTAATCAACTGATGAAATTTCCATTTTGAAAACTAATGATAGTTTGTAAATTATTGTGAATAATCTATCATGTATGTTAGGAGGATTGAATGATTATGAACTGAAAATAAGCCAATTAGTAAAATGATCAAATTATATTGACGGGTTTTTAAATATATATGCACTATATTGTTCTCTGGTAAATCATAATTGTAACGACCGAAATTTTAGTATTCGATCTGAAAACAAAACTAACGAACCAATGTTTATTCGATTAGGTCAAATTACGTTCTTTATAGAGTACGAATCGTTTTTGTGTGACTCGTATTAAAATATATGAAAGCACAAACTCTGTGTTCTGTTTAAGCAGTTCTAAATTAACAAAGAAAATAAATAATATCAAAAGTACTAAACACCTCAAACGGTACACCCTGTGCTGACAATCAATAAAAATATTTTTAAAAAGGTGGGATCAGATATCTATCTGCAAGGATTGCACTTACCTTTCCAAGAAGACAATTAAAGGTTGACAATCATATACTGAACCATGCCGTAACCTTGGGTTTATTCAAACACAACCTTATTGTCAATAGTCCGGCAACATACAACAGTAAGATGAAGTAATTAAACGTAAATCTTTAACCAAAGTCAAATAATGAAAGCCAAGACAAGGAAGACTGAAGAACATAAAGTGTAGCTAAAAGAGACCTGAATAAAGGCTAAAATACATGACAAGGAAAAGGGACAAATAAATGATAATACTGTCCAATAAAATGCTTTGGAGGGTTTTTCGGTGTGTACTATCCGTTACATTGGCCACCCAAATCTCTCCAGCTACATAAAGACGCCTCTGAAAAGTCAGGCATTGCTTCTCTATATAACTAATCTATGTCAGTGGGAAGCACAGGACTTACAACAATATGCCTGCACAAGCCGAAGCATTCAAAGACTTTACTGACTGACCAACTACTCTACTTTCATCAGCGTACATAAAACCACTTTCCATGTCACCGACAGTGCCTTCTGCGATGGACAGTGATCATATTCTACTAGTGTCATCTGTGCAAGGGATAATAATACTGGTATTAGCTTCTAGTTTATAACCAATCTCCACTCTAGCCTCTGATGACAAACTTTTATCATCCATCACAACTAAAGGGGGTGTTTTTGCTATATTACGTTCAACATTGGTTTGAAAGATACGGTGTACTATATTCTGACTACACTTTTGCGGAATGCTGAGCTCAAAAGAATCCAGTACTTTCATTTTGTTACAATTGAAATCATGAAGGGATCTAAGTTAGACCACTATTAGAAACTTGGAAGCACCGGAAGACTGTCTCGTCCTAGTATGGCACCCCCCAGTAGTTCGATTCCCGGACGCGAGGTAGTGGATGGGCATTACTGAGGGGTCTCACACTAGGAAGAGACGGCTATCTAGTACTTCCAGTCTTTGAATGATTGTGTAACTTAAACTGGTTCATGATTCCAGTGAAGTTTAACAATCTCGAAAACCCCGTACTGGGAACTATGATTATAAATATAATGAACAGATATGAATCGACATCTTGAGAACATATAGCAAATCACTAAATCGAATTGAGTAAAAATAGATTTATAACCAATAGAAATATAATCAATATGTTGATTATCATCCTTGAGATAGGCTACATTTTTCATTATAACTAATGGTGATAATTAGTAAGAACATTAGCTGACATCCTATTGTAAAAGATAGCTGTTACGTTTTATATCAGGATCCGGCTGTAGTTCTCATTCAATACCGTAATAGAGGTCCAACCTAGGACGTCTTCATCGCGCGAAAATATGATTCATAGGATCCCTTGTTGACAAATAGTAAAGTTCTTGGTTAGATCCTTGATGCATATTATTGCGGGACTACCAAAGACGAAACAACTGTCTCCTTCTTCCCAGTTTTTAATGGATTTTGAATTGATGCAAATGTGTGATAATAATGTACTAAATCGAACCATTATCTACAAATATTTCACGGATTTTAGTGGCTTGTGACTACACTGACAAATGGTTATTACGCCGTAGCTAAATTTTGTTAAAGTTAACTGAATCGTGTTCATTTCAACTTAGTCTTTAGAAACATCAAGTGATTAACTCAATATAATCTCTACTATCAAAATAGAAATTTATGATCTATATTGTAAGAAGTAAACAAGAAAAATGAGAAGTGGTTTTGACCCATTAATTTCTCTTCTTCTGAATGGCAGAACCTAATATTTGGTTGAAACATGAACATTACAAATTCTTACCATGTTTTCGACGAACCAACTATTCTGCCAATCACTCACAGTTTTAACTAAACTATCCAGATATTATGTAGTACTTTCAGTTAATCAATGTAAATATATTCAAGGTGAAGTTTAAGTGTTTCAGATTAGATTCTTAAAAAGACTGAACAAAAAATTGCTCGATTAAACATCATCATAATAATTACCATGGTAAACTATTGTAGTTGTTTACACATACTCACTCTTTTCTAAGTAGAGTTTTGCTTGATTTCAACAGTTAGATCAATTGAATAAACTAGATGAATTATATTTAAAAATTAAAAGAAGTATCGATATGAATTTCATGTATTTAAAAAGTATGGATTTATAATTTGTCGATCATTTAATCATAAATCTATGTACGTTACATTTACTTATTTCTGCCTGGAAATGTAAATAAAACTATTAGCCTACTTAAACGTATAATAGTTTTGTTAAAATTTATCTCTCACTTAAATGAACTATTTATTATCATTAATATTTGTGTTTGTAATGTAAAATAAAACAACAAAATACAAATTGATTGTCATAATAATATTACACAGTTCATTATTTCAGTAAGCAGACAGAGAACATTGAAACATATTTAAACAGTGATTAAATTTTACTACCTAATACTATTATTACTACTACTACACACTAGAAATATTCACATTGATAATAACAGCTATAAAAAATAAACAGTGAAAGTAACCAGAAGAACAACAAAGGCAAAAGAAACCAATAGGACTATAAGCTAAAGAATACGATTAGCACACTTATATACATAAATATTAATAACCGATGGAAAATTTAGTAAAATAATGAAGTTTATGTTGTAAAAGTCCATCTTTATTATCAATGTCGATATATATAAAACCAAAAAAAAAAAAAAAACAGAACAAAACACAACTACAATAACAAATAATCAATAAAGAAAGAACATAAAAATAACAACTGATGTTCAATGTTCAAATCCGTTTGAGTTTCGTATTGATCTAAAGTCAAGCTTATGTTTATACGAATATTTATGAACTAAACGCTCACTTTAAAATTTATGAATAACAATTCTGTAAATATATATATTGTAATTATTTGAAGTAAAAACACATATATTTACAAACATAGTGTGAGGTAGAATTCATACATCGTTTTTCTCGATTGTTCATTAAAAAAAGAAAAAGAAAGAACTATAATCAAACAAATTATGTGTTCATATGTTTAAATATTCACTAAACAAACTATTTATGGTAAAAAAGAACTACCGTTCATTATTAAGTAGTAGTATAATTTGTGATATCCACTGGTAAATTCTCAATAATCAACATGATAGTAACACAACATCAACAGTTGCATTAAAAAAACGCACAAACATAACTGTAATCAATAAAAAAGACGTGAAACCAACAAATAAATAGAACTAGACGAACAACATCAAAATGAAATGACGTTTTTTTTCTTCTGTTTTTACCCAAAATAAAACTATAGAATAATAGTAATTTGTGTAAACTATTTATTGTCATGATAATCTTTGATCGTTTCGTCACTGTATACATACTGAATGGATAATAATAAATTCTTAGTTATATATTGGAATGTAATGATTGAAATGCTGATTGTAAATTTTCTTACAATAAAACAAAGAAACCCATGTAAATTGATCATATTATTATTATTAGAATGGTGATTAAACTTTATCATTATTACTATTCATATTGGTTAATAATTCTAAATAAGCTGGTATAAATTCTGCATAATATTGACTTTCTTTTAAATAACGTAATATATGCGGTGGTAATGGTAATAAATCAATATGATCATGTCGAACATGTAATAGCAATTCAAAACGACATAAATGTACTAATGATGGAACAATTAAAAAACGTGACAGTGGATGAATTAAAGAAGCTTTAATATGTGTAGTGGAGGTAGAACGGCGTGTGGATTCAAATGGTTGTGATATATTATTATTATTATTATTATTATTATTATTATTATTAAATTGTTGAAGTTGTCGATGTTGGTCAGAATGATGTTGATCATTATTAATAAACTGTACATTTGTATTAATATTAATAGATAATGAAGAGTCATCAAGAGTTGGTAAAAAATGCATACGATCTTGAAAAGAATCAACCATTACACGTTCAATGCATTCAGCTACACTTGATGAAACATTGTTATTTAAATCATTTAATAGAGCCAAACTAAATTTGCCTGTAATTATAAATGAATAAATAACAAAAGATAATTATTGCAATAAAATGAATATTTAAAAAATATTTCTGAAGATTATTAAATTTTCAGTTTACATCGTAGACTAATCCTAGCTAGAAAACCGTTGGAAACTAGGATGTATTGAACCTGCAGTAACGTGAAATGATAACGGTTTGGCAATCTAGATATTAAGAGTAACAATGAGACTGAAGGTTCTGAATTCGCCCATTATGACAGGGTCGTGGATGTGCACTACTAAGAAATCCCATATTAAGATGAAACAGCTTTCCATTGATTCCTGGATCACAATGATTGTCTAATTAAAACCATTATGTGATGTAACCTGTGAAATTAGAATCTCAGTAAAACAAACAATTTCATGGTTACCATTTATATTAGTGTTGATTGATTAATAAACTTTACCAAAATACTGAACATCTAGGTTTATACTTTATTATCCGAATTTTCAAAAGTTATCTGATATTGCAATGAAACCTCAGAGAATCGAAATACAGTTCTTCAGTAAGGTAGTAAAACATACTTAATTTAGTGAATTAAAATTAGATTAGTACTAACCACTACAGAAAAAGGTTGACTTTATTGGCTGTTTGTATACATCAAACCTTACCACAAAAGACTTGTTTTGTCATGGTAATTCTAGCGTTAATACTTCAAACCATAACATTTGATGACATTCTTTTAAATTTGCAATGAGCCATGCCTTTAAAGACAACATATAAGACTTGTTATTTGCGTGTTGAACATAAACTTTCTGAAGCGTAAGGCTCTCCATTAGCAATCGAGACAGAACCAATATCAAATACAAGTTACTGTTCTTTTGGTTTAAATTTCTGTTTTTAGTTGTTGACAACACTCAAAAAGTAAGACTGTAATTACAGTTTACTTGTTTATCTTTGCTCGTTTTATACTACTTATTAATATTTAGTAGCTTATATTGTCCCCAACCATTTTTAGGCGTTTGACGATGGATCTTCCCCTTGTTAATGTATGGTTTTACTAAGTATTTCCACGAAAATGTGATAGTTGATCCATTTACTGTTGTATTTATATTTAATTAACATCCTTAACCGTTTGTCTTCACTTCTTGGGCTTTCATTAAATATATAGTTATCTGTAACAGTGCATATACATGTTGCTCACATTTCTCGCTTCACTTTGTTAGTTGATGAATTGACCGAGCTACTGGCTGTTACTTAGTCAACCAAATGTTTTTTGTAAATAATTCCTATATAAATATCACAGAAGGTACTTCCTCTCTGTCCGTACCTTGAGATGTGTAAATATCTTCAATAACTCACAAATTGGTGCTTGTTAAAATGCATTGCATCATTAGTAACAGTAACATGTCATAGACAAATCTTGTGTTTTGATTCCAGGATTTCACGATTCCATCAGTCATTTAGTCTGGAATTACGAGCAGTTTTGACATCAAATAAGATGGGACAGGAAGAATATATACATAAAGTTCTCTTGATTAGATTGTAATGGAATATCTTGGAAATTTATTATAATTTTATTTTATTTGAACACATAAATATTGGTACAGGGGGGCATCAAATATATATGCGCCACACAAAACAACGAGAATTTAAAGAGAAGGGAAAAAAGGTAAGGAACGTAGGGAATTATAAAAAAAGAACAATAATGGGGGAAACGAAAATGTACAATCAGAGGAAATCTTACAGTTAAGGAAGAAGAAACCACTTTTTATGAAGAAAGTAAAAGAAGGTTACAGCAGGATCGCCACTGGCTTCTATTCTGAGCCATATCTAATAACGTTTCTAGCCACTGTGTTACACCATCTCTCGGACCCCAACCAAGGAATCGTGAAGGACCAACATAAGCCAGCCATTTGTAGCTTTCTTTCATACCACGACACCATGTCATACACTGACCGTCTCTCCGCTTTTTCCTACCAGTCCCAGAGTCGGCAAATAATGCACGACGAGGAATTCTCTGGGACGACATTGGTACAACATGTCCAAGCCACCGAAGTCGGTGTTTCAAGATGGTGACACCAGTTGGATTGTCGTCTCTATGACCGAACTTTTGCATTACTAACATGGTGTTGCCACTGGATGTCAGCAATCCTTCGGAGACAGCGATGATCAAACACAGAGAGTCGTCTAACAACCTCAGCTCGGAGAGGCCAGGTTTCACAAGCATAGAGCAAAACTGCTCTCGCCGACGCGTTGTAGATCCGACCTTTTACAGTCGGTCAGTAACAACGTGGAACTTCGTACGTACGTACATCAGTTCGAGTTGCCATACCACATTAGCACAGAGATTCAGTTATCGATTCAAATCCCATAGTGGTAGATGTACTAAAAGTATAAGTAGTGATAGGGAACATTAGGGTTTGATGATGTTATTTAAGGAGTATAGTCCAGTGGAATAGATTTGGAAAGGAAATAAAAGACATGAAGAATAAAGAAGATTAGTTTGAGAGAGCACAGCCAGACTAACATCACGAAGGCGCCAAAGATGGCCCAGATTGGCATAAGCTGCTCTGGCTTTCACTATACGTGCATTGATTTCATCACTTACACCACCACCAGCACTTAAGCAGCTACCTAGATACACGAACTTCTCGACTACTTCAATCTGCTCACCATCCGAAGTGAGTACAGGATTAGAATCCTACCAGTCTTGTAGAAGTACTTTGCACTTCGAAGGTGCATCCATCAGAGCTGTTTCCAGAATGTCATCGGTGGCAAAGTTGAAGAGGAATGGTGAGATTGGGCAATCCTGCCTAACCCCACTGCTCGAATGGAACAATGAAGAGATGTGGTTGTATTCCCTCATTCTGCCTGAGGTGTTCGTATATAGGGCTTTTAGAATGTTAATAAACTTCTCAGGCACACCCTTCTTCAATAGACAATCCCAGAGAACACTCCTATCCAACGAATCGAAGGCAGCCCTGATATCAAGAAGCACTACGATTGTTGGCCTTTGATAATTATGACGGTGTTCTAACACTTGGCGGAGGGTGAAGATATGATCAATACATCCTCGACCAGAACGAAACCCAGCCTGCTCCTCGCGAGTCAATCCTTCTCGGGTTCCGAACAACCTACGAAGTATGACGGAAGCCAATAGCTTGGACGCAATCGGAAGTAAACTTATCCCCCGATAGTTGTTAAAGGAACAACGTGAACCCTTTTTAAAGATAGGGACAACTATCGACTCATTCCATGACGTTGGTACACTCTCTAGTTCCCAGATCTTTGTAAGCAACGTCGTCAGTCCCTTAGTGAGAAAGTCACCACCATCTTTAAAAAGAGCCGGAGGTAAGTCGTCTGGGCCCGGTGATTTGTAACGTTTCAAGAGTTGGAGTTCCTTGCGGACTTCCGCCTCATTTGGTGGATCAGTCGTCACCGGCCATGGAGGGCAGGACAGTCTGACCGATGTTGCCGGAGCAGCAGGCCAGTTGAACTGCCCTTCGAAAAACCCTGCCCATCGTCCAAGACGTCGATGGATGTTAGTGATTAGCGTTCCGCCATCCTCTCAGATTGTTTCGCTCACACCAGACTTCTTGCTGCCAGTGGCTCGGATGAGTTGGAAGAGCTTCCGGTAATTACCAGATGCAGCTGCTGCTTCCAGCTCATTAGCACGCTCCGACCACCAGGCTTCACGGTCCTTACGCAAGCTTTGCCCGATTTCATTACGTAACATCCTTCGTCTGTGGTCAAACTTACGGTCACCCGAAGTAGAACGACGGGCTTCAATCAGTTGTAAGGAACCAGAAGAAACCCAGTGATTATAAGCCGGACGTTTCGCGAACCCACAACTGACTTGACCCGCCATTTTCATGGCGTCATGCAATTGCAGCCAATGCTCATCTATACTTTTCGGTAGAATGGTAGCTAGACTAGAATCTAGCTCGGTTCGATACTTACTAGCAACAGAAGTTGCAACCAACTTGCTGACATCAATCCTTTGGTGGCGGTCACTTCGTTGTCCACTGAAAAGTAAGGTAAGATTGGCGCAGACCAGGGCATGATCAGAGTCCACATAGGTACTCCAAAAGGAGCGGCAGTCTTGTACACAACCATGCCAGCGGTAGCTGATCGCGATGTGAAAAATCTGAGTCCGGGCTTGGGATGCAGAGGGGGGACGCCAGGTGGCACATCGGCGATGACTGTGCCGAAAGTTAGTGCTAGCCAGAAACAGGTTGTGGTCTGTGCATCGTATTCGATGGTAACATACAATTTTCAACCAGGCAGTGACTCGAGAACATTTAGATAGAGCCGAATGTCCACCGTAGGTGAGTTGCTGTATAAGTCGAAAAATAAGGATAGACAGTGTGAGAATGAGAGTTAATAAATGACGTGGTAAATAATAATAATAATAATAATAATAATAATAATAATAATAATAATGTGAATTGATTGACAGTACATCGCAGTGAGAACAGAGTTTTTAGTGAATATTATCATTTTCATTATCATTATATTTGTGTGTAGGCTGAGACACTGCCCGGGTGCCCAGATCGAAGCAGGTGGTTTTCTTAAGGGGCCACACCCTGAGCCTTTGACCTAAAGGTCTAACCCACAAGGCAGTGGAGCATCGTGAGGAGATGCAGTCCTATGGAAGCCGGTGACCAAGAAATCGGTTCATACGCCATTTGTTCCCTCAGGATACTGGAGCCCATGTACACCATTGGTTTGGGATCCGGTTATAGCGCCAGACGTTCGTTTTTCGTCCTCTCATTTTCGTAAACAACACCCCGGCCACAAGAAGGCAGTGAGTAGGACTTCCCTGGCAGAGGCTATATACGCGTGGCCGTGAGAGTATTTCGAGAGGGAGGGCGAACCCACCCCACTCTCGGCCATACCAGGGAATACTTAGTATATCATTCATCCTTATAACCGTTATTAAATAACTACCAGAGGTGTATAAATTCAAAAGACAGTACCAAGAAACGACTACAGTTTACTATCGTACAGCACAGATAACAAGACCATCAAATGCACGAAGCGAAAACAGATAAAGTGAGAATGCAGGTGAATTTATAAAAGAACGGGTTTTAAAATGTACATATATATTAGAAAGCGAACCAGTTATCGAGTTATTTAATTAACTAACATCTAAGCCAGTAAGGCTTATATACGTGTGGGCTATAATGAGTGATCATTCATACATGATCATACAAACATGATAGCAACAACGTAAAGATAAAGAAAATTTGTTACCGACCGGATGACACCGTTTACTAGATAAGTAAATTAAAGAGCTCAATAGATTTAAATGCATACAAACTGAAGTATAGTTGAAAGTTATAAGATAAGATATAATATGTAAGGTATTTAACAACTATTATTGTACCGATTTCTACTGTTAAGATAACTTACCAGCCAGATGTTCAATTCTTGTATGGTAAATTTGACCACCAGAGCGAAAACTGACAGTTAAAATGTATGAATCATGACTACTGTCACGTACAAGGAAAGTTCCATCCGCGCAGTTTTTTAATAGCAATTCAGCTTCTTCGACTGTCAATGGACCCCAGTACCAACCCATCTTTAATAGAAAAACATTTGATGTTGTTTATTGCACTACTTATCAGTAGTATAAAAAGATTTGTAAAACGTTTTAATAAAAACTTGAAAAATTTAACTTGTTTCATATTGATAAGAAGTAAACAGTACAATATGGATATCTAGGGAAGAGGATAATTTATTTGGTTCATGTACTTAAAATATGAATCACAGAAAATCTGTGTAAACGTCTTGAAATATGAAACTCGAGCATTCTTTGCTTTGTTGAACTCAATTAGATTTTTACGTAACGTTCATATTGCAATTAGAAAATTCCATTAAGGTAAACTCATCTAGAATAAAGCAAATTCATCGATATCAATAGAAAGATACAAAACTACAAACCAAACTCAGTGTGACAGTTGGAGATTTAAATAAGATATATGAAAATTGAGAAATCACAAAAGTTCTTATAGTACAAAGTGATAATAGTCGGATAGCTCCTTAAATTATTTTAATTTTATTAACTCTTTGTAGATATTCCTAAAAACCTTTGGAATTGATCAATATAAAGTACTTGAACCAAAATTCAAAAAGAATTTTCTCATTTATTCAATAAGTATGGAAAAATAATTAAAGAGAGGAAACATTTAACTAAGCTTATTAATTTGAAATAATCCTACATTATCTTTAAATGAAAAAAAAAAACTCCAGTGTATATGTATATCAGTGTAAGTTCTTAAATTGAATATAATACAAGTGATAATAAGCATCAATTAATACTTAAAAGTACTTTAAATGAGAAAACCAGTTGAATTTAATTGATAATCCATTGAAGATTATAATCCACAATCACATAGTACTAAATATTTTATTTTTACAGAACAATTTAATTTGGATGTTCAAGCGGTATATTATCCAAAATAAAATTATTAATATTATGATCTCGCAGTTAATTAGCATCATTTCTAATATAATCAAAACTGAAATTTACATTACAGAGTGATTAATAAAAAAACAACTTTTTTTTCTTTACTATATTCATATCTTTCGTTTCATAAGAATCCGTTTGACTTATTGGCCACTGTTATACGATTTACCCTTCTTAATTTATTACCAGTTTATTGGTTACAGTATCCCATACAGCCACTTTTGTCTTGATCTTGTATAATAATTTTTTCTTAATTTTATGGTGTGATGCAGTCTGGTCGGCTTGTATATGAACCACATATGTCTGAGATATACGATTCACACAGTGGAGGCTGATATTTGTGTTCTGGATTGAACGGTCTGGGCTAGGTAAGAATTTGTTATACAGAAGACTAATGAGGACTTAGAGTTAACTTAAGGCTGCTAGTACTGCTTGACACATCACTGGTGTAGCACAGGAACAAAGTCATAGAAATCGATATTTTGATTGGCGATTTCGTCACATGATACTTGACGGGTCATAGGATATAACAGAGCTGAACAATAAGAGCGGGGATATAGTGAATGCACAAATGGTTTGAACGTCACGGCGCATCATATATAAGTTGGAAATGTCGTTTACGGATGATTAAGTAAATAACTTAACGGAGGAATTTCTCTCAGTTAACTCCATACTGAGAAGATTCACTCAAAAAATATTATAGCATATTTAAAGAAAGTTAGGATGCACATTTTGGCAAAACTAATGATAATTTTTAAAACCCAAACCGTCAATTATGAAGTGTAGATCCTAATTCTAATACCTAAACTACATATCCTAATCCTAACCCCAAACAATTATCTTCTTAGGCCTAAATAACAAGTCTGAATCCCAATCGTGGCATTATAAAACCCTCATCAATTCGTTGTATTCTGATTGGCTGAATGTATCGATAGCCTGCCCAAGTCATTCCCAGATTCTCTCAAGCTCGTCCTTGTATTTCATTTCTACCCCGACATACAGAAAATAGTTAAATCTTGAATAGTGAATATATTCAATTACTATTCATAAATAACTTACGCGTTTTAAAAATATCAAATCGGTTACAAACTTTTGATGAAGAAATGTATTAGCAGTAGTAGTAGTAGTAGTAGTAGTAGTAGTAGTAGTAGTAGTAGTAGTAGTAGTCATATCAATTTTTGAAATATTCGTCGACTGTACTTTTTCATCAGAAGATTTACCAATAGTTAAATTTGAACATGTGATTTCTGAGTTTGTACATTTTACAACATTGTCATCCTCATTCATATGCTCAACAGCTTCATGCTCATGATTTTGTACAAGCATTTGGTTATGATGTTGATGATAATCTATGAAACGTGATGAGATATTTCTTGTATTCATTGAATGCTCATTATCTATTGAATTATTATTATTATTATTATTATTATTATTATTATTATTATTATTTACACTTGTTACACTGCCAATATTATCGTTCAATCTATTTGATTGTTTTTCTGTCAAGTTTAAACACTGTAAAGTGATGACAGGTGATGAACAGTCAATTTTTTTATTATTCGACGGAGATATTTTCCTACAATCAGATCTCATTTGATCTAGTTGACCAATAGTAGTATATTGGTTTTCTAAATTTAAATGAAAGTTTCTTACAGCTTTATTTTGTGTTGGATAATTTCTACAACATATATTTGTTGTGTGCTGATTATTCATGAACTTTATATGACGTTGATTGAAATCATGACTTAAATGATGATGTTGTTGCTGTCGACGGTGGTGATGATGATGATGATGGTAATAATGATGATGATGTTGACAAGAATAATAATGGTGGTAATACTGCTGTTGTAGATCATGATAATGTGATGATTGTAAAATTCGATTATCTTGTTCATATTGATTATTAGAAGAAAATGAAACTAACCGATTATGATCACAGTAATTGAAGTATCTTTGACAAAAACAACAATCAGATACACATGATGTAAATGATATCTGATTATCAAGATGTAGTTCATTTAATTGATGTGAATTGATTGGACAACTTTGAGTACAAAAACAATTTATATCATTATATTTTGAAGAGATTTCATGAAATTTACTGTATGTTAAATCATTGAGAGACATAATTGAACATGAACATGAATTATTATTACTGCATGAATTATTATTGAAAACTATAGGAGATTGATCAGTATGACAAAAATCTATTAAATTTCCAGTTGATTTCTCATTAGATATTAATGAAGATGAAGAGAATGGTAAACTTCCATTTTTCAAATTGTTCCTATATTCAAAATCTGATCTGAATAATGAAATAAAAATATAAGAGACGAACTATATTTATTAAGTATTAGTTTGAACAATATCAGAAGTTACATTTTAGTCGAAATACTTTAAAAAAAACAGTTGGTAATAAATATTAAGTTGTAATTATATGTGTAGATAGCAGATTCAAACTTCAACCTATTTATTACCGTTTGAACTGTGAAACAAGATCACTAGTCTCTATATAAACATTGACTTTAAGCTGAGTACATTAACTTATACTGATTATGTGCCTGATTATACGTTGTAGCTAACTGACTGATGATTTTGGTGATTAATTATTTAAACTATTTATTAAGTATATATTTATCAAGTCAGATATGAACTATACATTTTGTAAGAGGGTTTTGTAATATTAGCTAGTTAACCAAAAATTCAATGATTAATAGTTAACTACCACAGCCAACCATTAAACTACTAATTTATTTATTAGTCTACTTTTATTGTGATATGAAAAGCATGTATATTAAACTTATTTCATTAACACTTGAATCATTTAAGATTCCTTTCAACTGTCATCATGAATGAATGACAAATACTAGCTTTTTAACTCATCACACGTTACTAGTTACTAATATTTGATTACAGATATATTAGAAATATTGCTCGCATCTTCTGGGATCATCGATTAAATAATAGTGAGGTTAGACACAGGGTATTAGGGAATGATGGTTGTAAATCGTCAACGACTGAGATGGTTGGGCTACGTGTTACGTATGCCTGAACACCGATTACCACGACGCGCAATGCTGACTAGTGTTGAAGACGGTTGGAAGAAAGTTAAGGGCGGCCAAACAAAAAACGTGGCATCAGTCCTTGAAGTCGCTAACTTCTGGTCTGAGCCGTGTTGGTAGATGCAGACTACTTGGTTGAGGTCCGCGCGACTATCGTAAACAACGGTTGCAAACTCTCGGTGGAATAGATGAGGATCGATCACAATAGCGTAGGTGTATACAGTCTCTGTTTTCCCTTAAACCATGAGATTAAAATTGCTTTACATCTTTCTACGAACCACTTCTTTCTCTCTGCATCATATCCTCATATGCAATCCTTATTTTATATATTAACACTACTGAAGTAACTACTTCTATTAATTTGATGATCATCTTGTAGTGCTAATGAAGTGTGGCATCTTGAACCGATGTATATATATGCCTGGTCCTACGTTGTAGCTAACTGTCTGACACCACTAAATATTTAATTATACAAAAATGTAGACAAATAATACTGAATTTTAAAATCAATCTAAGTACAACAACACAACTCTTCATTGAAATCCTTTCATAATAATGGAAATTAAATAATGACACGTTTTTAAATGTATTTGGACATAAAAATCAGTTCTCCTATAACTGTCATAATTCTCTTTTTCTTATTCAATGATACTATGGGTTATTTTAATTATTTGTAGATAAACCATAAAGTAAGTAAATACAGTATTCGTAATAAACTGTTAGAGGTCTGTGGCAGAAAATCATCCACTTAAATAATAATAATAATAATAATAATAATAATAATAATAATAATAATGGTAATAATGACGGTAATAATAATAATTGTGATAGAGCCAATCACTTTTCGATATGGATATCAGTTTAACTTTCCATACCACATCAGTACGGTAAGTTGAAATTATCAAGACAATAGTCGGAGTGATAAAAGTCGTGGCAGTATTAGAAGAAGTAGTAAGAATAATAATAACAATAGGGAAAAGTAGACAGAGACAATACAATTCAAGAAGGAAGAACAAAATTACGAAGTAAAAGATATAAATATTCTCAGGAAAAGAATGAATGTATTTGTGTCATTATAACCGATTCTAAATCATTCTATTCAACGTCTTTAACCACTTGTTACAATAATCATGAGGACATCAGCTCAGATATTCCAATTCTACCTATATGGCATAGTTAAACGGTCAATGATTATCAAATTAAATAAATGTATTTGAATTATACCAATAACAATAGTCGAATATAAATACATTTACACTGTTTACACTTAGTTGTGATAAACTATTGTGCAAAAGGAAAATAAATCAACTTACGATAAAATATTTCGATTAGAATAATTAATTTCACTTGATAATTGTATATTTGTTTTAGAATCACTAAAAAAATGATCATTATTATGTAGATTAGATTTAATTTTGCCAGATTTTTCATCTGGTTGACTTCGTGATCTAGTCGGTTCAAATTTTCTTATTTGATAACGATAGGAATTTGAAACAGAGGCAGATTTATTATTATGTATCGGTATGGAAGATGATACACGATCTGATGAAGTTCTTGAATAATTTATTGTATGTATACGTTGAAACCAATTGGATAATTTTACAAAAATATAATTCCAGCGAAAACCAACAGGAAGACGTGAAAATTCTTCTTTATTTAATTGATTAGCAACCTGGTGATCATTATGGTGATGTTGATGATTTGAATTATTTTCAGTACATAATAAATCATCTGAATTAAATTCATTGCTTTTAGTTAATGATATAAAATGTGAAGACTTTTTCAATTTCATTGGAGGTGATTGCGATTTGATTAATTTATTTGTAGTTGAATTTAATGACTGGAAAGAAGTTTTCGTTTGGTAGTATTCATCATTTAAAGTTGAATTATCTGTTTTCGGGAAAAATAATTTCAGATTATATGATTAAAATTCAAACAAATGCAATACGAAACAAAAGTTAGTGAACTAATGCCCATGACAGTCACTCAATTTCTCAGCACTCCACGTACATAATTCGTTTAATTTATATTGGTTATTTTAGGAAATAATGATATTTTTCCGTGCGGTCCTGAATAATTCCCCTAGTAGACCCATGAAATCTAAAAGACATCAAACTGATCAGTGTGAAACATAGAAGGGTAGTGTAAGGTCTGTGGTCCAAATCAGCTATTATGCATGATTGTAACACTTGGGTAACACACAACTAGACAGAGAAAGAAGCAAAAGCCATATAGCCAACTGTATCCCCCAATCCCAAATAATCAAACTCATAATTCATTCGTATTTGTCTGTGGTCACGGCAATCCAGATAAGTTGTAGTGAGTATCAACAAGTCTATTTTAATTCTCGTTTAGTACTAAACCAGATTACCGTTTCTACGACAATCGTCAATAGTGTAGAAATCGATACGAAGTTGTTAAAATGAACTTTATTTTAAACGTGTAACACGAGAAATGAGACCAGAAAATGGTTAACCAGGAGAGTGAATTAATGTATCAATTCTGATGCTCTCTCGAAGAAACTAACTTCTGACCAAGAAACTGATATCAAACAGTTATCCGACAAAGTTCTTAAATCGGTTTAAAACTCAGATAACATCAAAACTCTTGAATTCTGTCTCGAAGAGTGTATAATACTTCACCATTTAGAAGAAAATCACATAGCATAGTTTTGAGACAGACTAAAGAGAGCCTTCGAAAAAACATACTGCAATCTCAAACTGATAGTTATTGAAAAGTTAAGCCTACAAGCCTAAATAGACTTAAACATCATCTAAACGATTAGGTCACATCCCACTGTATTTACCAATTCACATATTTTGTGATATATCAGATGAAGTTCTAGAACTGACATCCAGTGGTGATCTGAAAACTTTTGTAAATAAATAAACTACTTATGGGTACAATAAACAAAAGTCAACTGGCATTCAAACAATCCAAGAACATGGCAACATTTATTAAGTTGTTGAAATAGAACAAGATGAAATCGTCTGGTAGAAACTTTAGGCGGACTTCAGTGTAATGATTTACATGAGTTGATTAACAAACCCTAATAATTTCTGGCAATACATAGCAGGATGACTTTAAAATAAATGTACACTTTAACAGAAAAATAAATTATTCTTATCCACATCCACAGTTACAGACAATATTTCTCAGCTATTAAAAAAGAAACTACAATTAATTATACCAATCCATCATAGGAAAATAATTGCTGTCATAATACCTAGTCAATAGTGTTGAACGGGTTATATCGCAGTTTATAAATTCTATTGATTACCATTAAGCATCCAATAAAACGTGTGTTTATCATCCTTATATAAATAGTTCATGTACTGTCAATTTCTACTTGTATCTCGCTGGGGAAATATAATGATGCGCACGCATTTTTCATGATTCTTATAAATACAATTATTTAGTTCGATATGACAGTTTTGTGAAACGGGTTGTACTCTACTGACAATACAACTAACTGATAAACTTCGTTAAGTTTGGAGAGATCTAAATACTTACTAAACTAATTTTCGATTATTCAACCAGTTCCTTAAATTGTTACTTTCTTGAAGTTAGCTCTTGAAATCTAAATAACTGGAACAACTGTAATCTCATAGCTAACAGTAATCGAGTGAACTGATAAACGAAGTTCCTCTAAACAGTAAGGAAAATTTTTTGGTGCTGTTGTTTAACCGTTCAACTATTCATCATTGAATTAGAAGTCGAGTGAAATGTTTTATTTAAATGTATGGTAATTTTATATTATGCTTCGAAGGCGAACATTAATGTGACTGATCCTCTTGGAGTTGAGCTAAAATTACGAGTTAGGATTTTCACGAGTTAACATCAGCTATAAAAATATCTAGTGTGAAACCAAACAGTGAATATAACACCTTAGGATTTAGTTAGAATATTATCTAACTACACGAACACCTTTAACAATGCATTGAATAATAGCAAATACTCTACCATACAGTCTGTATCAAGAGAGGGTATTTCTTGTAACTTTGTTGAGATATCAAGTCATATTCACTGTTTGATTTCATACAAGATATTTTTGTCAATTTGAATCATTTTAAGAATCAAATATTGTCAGGTTTCATTTAGCTCATATAACACATAAGCTTTCTTACAATGAGCTTGCAATTTCGCGCAAAAATTTACGAGGCATTATTGAATAGAAAAATACCAAAGAGAATTTAGAAATAGCCACATTCATTTTAGTAATGAATAGATAAATTAGCATGAGGGGTTATTTATGGAGACTGTTGAGCTTTGTAGTTTTAAGTCTAAGTTAGACAACTATTAAAGATCAAGAAGTATCGAAAAGTTGTTTAGTTCTATTAAAAGACTTCTCAGCAATCCACAACCACTATCCTACTGCGGGCCTAACTACAATCAGTCCCTGATGTAAACTATAGAGCAAATAAACCTCTTAAATTTCATAGTACGTACATCTGTATTGAAATATTTCAACTTTAAATGATTCGCGAATACAGTAAAAGATCATTTAGATACAAGTAACGTGCATTTTGACCATTTTTATTAAATAATTTGATCCATAACTCTGTAAACCGTCTTACTATTTTCGTGGTTCATAGGGAAAACAACCTTGAAAATAATCGTTTTTAGTGAAACAAAACCTACCAATCAGTTTAGTAGAAAAAATTACTTTCCAATTAATCTAATCACTTGCCAGTGAAATAACGAATTGAAACAAACGAATTTCATTTTATCTAGACAATTCGATTATCATACAATCCAGAAAAGATAAAACCAGACATTATAAAACAGTGAATTTGAGCCAAATCATATGATGCAAACCATAAAAAAAGGAATTAGTTAACTATAGACAAAAATGCGAAGTTTTTAAAATCTGTCTAAAGGAATGACGAAAAAAGTGATGTGGAAAATCTTCACTGCGTTGAATTAGGAAAAATGTTAAATATTTCCAATTCCCCAAGTAAATGTTAACATTTTAAGATAACTGATGATGGCACAATAATCGGTATGGTGAATATAATGTAAGTGATGGTAAAAATTACAACTTACAGTTAGTAAAGGTCAGAAGATTTGACCAATGAAGAAGACAATTTCAAAATTTAGTTAGTCAACGTAAATTTAATTATTATACTGATCTTAAAAAGTTGTAAACAGTCAAGTTACTTAGAATAAATGGATTAAAGCTAACAGTGGAATCCAGGATGTACATTTCTTCTCATTTGAGACCCGTTAGGTGAATGTACATTCATTCTTGTTGATGTTTACACTGAGTCTCGAATCCATTACTTTTTGATTCAAACAAAAATACACTGTCCACCAGAGTTCGCATAACCCCTAATCTGTTTAAAGGGTAAGTGATTAGTGCTGGGGTATTGATAAATCGGAATGACGAACCTTAAATAGACCGAAAAGCGCGTCTTGAATTCTACAACTTCCTACAGTCCATCTATTCTAAATTACTAATGACAGCTATATCGAATGCATACACAAGATATACATAGACCAATAAAGACTAATCAAAATTCGGTAATGAATACCAAAAAGTGGATAACTTAAACTATTATTAATATTAACAGTCAAGTGAAATTGCTTGACAAAGGGGAATTCTAATTACATAAATTAGATTTCGACTTTTAGTTGCAGAAAGTTAACAATTATGACAGATTGAATCAATAATTTAGATGCTTTCAGAAAGAATTTTTACATTTTAGAGGTGATTTTTTTTCTTTCAAATTCACGTCGTCAGCTGAAAGTTAAGTAAAAACAGTGTAGGAAGTAATTTCTTACAAATGCAATTCTAAACAATTCCTCAGACTATCAAACACAGAGTCTTAGCTTAGCCAAAGTCACAACAAATAAACTATTTGACCTGATAAACTTTATCTGTTTCTAAAACGCAAATCAACACAATTAGTATACAAAATAAATGGTCAATACAGTCTACTGAACGTGGAAAATGGAGACATGAACAACATACCGAACAGTAACTAGAGGATAGGAAAAATTAGTCAACAGACTGAATATTTTTTTGAGTGAGATCATGAATCGATCAATGTTAGACTGCTGAGGAGTCCCATACCAGTGCGAAACGTCCGTCCAGTGCTTCCATGTTTTCAATATTGATCGATTCATGATTTCAACCAGAAACTCAACAATCCCCTCAACTGATAAAACCGAATATTGTTTTATGATAGACATAAAATTGTGATTGGCGAATAAGCAAGGCATAGTCATACAAGGTTAAAGGAAACTAATGCGGTGGTGGGCGTTTCATTTTATCATCGGTGGGTTCGTTTATTGGTCACACTTTACACTCTACCGAAACGCACACCACATCCATCGTCCTGAGTCTTCGTCAGATAACCGGCTTCTTCAAGTAAGCAAAGACTTCGTACACCTCAAACGGTTTTTCGGTTGCTGTTCTCAACTTCGGTGTACGAACTTGTTCGTCAGGGCCTTAGCTTATTTGTTCGACAATGGCTCTAGGCCATAGACTTCTTAAAGAGAGCAAGAACAAAGATTGGTGCGGAATAATATGAATTCATTTTATTTCGTTAGGTTCTCATCAGCTGCTTATAAACTAAAATATTTGAAAATCAACGTTATTACTGATATTGACATACTTATAAATAAGTGGGTGATTAAGGATGAATATATGTATCATGATATAGCGAAGATTCCGATAGTTAGTAAGGTCCTAAAATTTTGTTTCGAATAAATAAACTTTGGGAGGGAAAGTTTCAGAACATTAAAATAGAAATTAGAACTCATGGAGTTAACAAACATTAGATGATTGCGTAATCAAGTAACTGAAAATAGATTAATGGTAATAAAGATCTGAATTGAAATCAGTCAATTATGAATGATGTAATTTAAACTTCCGAGTTTTAATA